TGTACAACTAATTTAACTGCTGAACACTTGATCATTAACAATTTACCGGGACCTTATCAATCGCTGATTCGATAATGGGGTTGTGGCTGCAAACAGGATAAAAACATATGAGACGAACTCTAGAACTAACTTTTTTCTGCATAAGCTTTATGTTGTTAAACAACGGCATAAAGCTTATTGAAATAAGTTTTAAAAGTTATAAGAATGTTAAATCTGATTTCATAATTTTAATCAAGACATGATGTCAAGACAAATAAACTCTACAGAAAAAGAACTTCTTAGATGTCGACCTATATCCGGGCGTGGAAAGAATTACCCACTTTTTCTATCCCACTCTACTAAGTATTCCTAAAAACCCATTCTAATCACAAAAGGATATTTGCACGTGAACGATTGCTTTCGTCAATTTAATACAACAAGTAGAAAATTGAAAATTCATATCCATCAATTTTAATTAGAATACACTACGATTGAAAATTCTTTTGCCCCTTAAAACTTTCCATTCTAAATAGAGATTTGTCTTCCAAATCCCACTCTGGATATATATGTATGTTCTTGCAAAAGCAAACATCAAAGATCATCTCTTCATTATTCTCAGCTTTCACCTTTAACTAAATTATTAATAAGTGAAATGGCAACAAACCTGGAGGTTGCTCCATATAAACTTCTTCCTCAAGATCACCATGGAGAAAGGCATTTTTGATATCCAACTAATGAAGTGGCCAATGACGAATGGCTGCCATTGCAAAGAACAATCGAATGGTAGTCATCTTTGCCACGGGAGAAAAGGTGTCACAATAATCAAGACCATAAACCTGAGTGTATCCTTTTGCAACCAGCCGGGCTTTGAGCCTATCAATGTTACCATTAGGGCCGACTTTAATTGCATATACCCATCGACAACCAACAGCCTTTTTGCCCGGGGGAAGTGGCACAAGCTCCCAAGTGTGATTGTGGTCAAGAGCCTGCATTTCTTCAATCATGGCTTGTCGCCATCCAGGATGATCAAGTGCTTCTTTCACACTTTTAGGAATAACCACAGGAGATACTAAGGATAAAAGGGAATAAAAGGAGGGCGACACTCTCTGATAACTAAGAAAATTATAAATGGGATGAGGGTTTCGAGTGGAACGAGTACCTTTTCTGAGAGCAATGGGCCAACCAGAATCATCTTCACCAGGAGGCGTGACAGGAGATGGTGATGGAGAAGAATCTGAAGGAGGAGATCCACCATTTTCTGGAAGAGGATTACTCACCGGGGTACTGTGTCGAAGGATATCAGTATGTGGAGAGGAAGGTTCAGGAGGACCTTGGGCATGACTTGGATTGACTGAGGCATTGGAGATATTAGACTCAACCACTGGAAGAGGAAGGACCTGGTGGAGGATATGAACATCTTGAACAGAGGGAGAGAAGAAAGGTGTTTGTTCAAAGAAGGTAACATTGGCAGACATGTAGTACTTTTTGGTTTCAGGAGAGTAACACCGGTACCCTTTTTGAAGCTGAGAATAGCCCAAAAAGACACATTTGATCACACGAGCAGAGAGCTTGTCGAGCCCCGGAGACATGTCGTGAACAAAACAAACACAACCAAAGACTTGAGGAGAGGTGTGAAAGAGAGGATCATTGGGAAAGAGAATGGAGAAAGGAACTTTATGATTGAGAGAGGAGGAGGGCATCCTATTAATAAGAAAACATGCAGTTAAGATGGCATCCCCAGTGATGAACAGGAATATTAGCACCAAGCAAAAGGGTACGAGCCATTTCAACCAAGTGTCTATTTTTTCTTTCCACTATACCATTTTGCTGCGGTGTATGAGGACAAGTGGACTGATGCAAAATACCATGGGAGCTAAGAAGTGAAGAAAATTTTGATGAGAAATACTCTTTAGCATTATCACTTCTTAAGACTTTAATTACGTGACCAAATTGGTTCTTGATTTCATTCAAAAAGGATGTGAAAATGGGTAACAATTCAGAGCGATCTTTCATTAGATAAACCCAAGTACATCTAGAATACTCATCAATAAAAGTAACAAAATACCTAAAACCAAAAGAAGAGACGCGACTAGGTCCCCAGACATCAGAATGAATAATAGAGAAACTAGAAGTACACATTGATTGAGACCTTTTGGGAAAGACAGATCTAACATGTTTTCCTAGTTGACAGGACTCACATTCTAAAGTCTGAAGACCACTAAGTTCAGGACACATCTTTTTTAACTTTGACAAGTGAGGATGGCCAAACCGATCATGTAACACTTTAGGGGGAAGAGCTGCAACACAAGATACCCGTGGACGAGATCCAAAATGGTATAAACCTCCAGCTTCATATCCTTCTCCAATCTGTCTCCCCGAGCCACGCTCCTGTATAACAAAAGATTTTGAATCGAAAGTTATTGAACAAGGTAACATTTTGGTTAACTGACTTAGGGAAATTAAATTGAATGGACAGTTAGGGACAAAAAGAACAGATTTCAGAGTTAGAGAGGGAGACAGGGAGACTTGACCGACTCCCTTTGAACAAGTTTTAGAGCCATTTGCAAGGGTAATGAAATGGGGTTTTTCTTGGAGGGAAAGGGTTGAGAACAATGAGGTATTACCAGAAATGTGATCAGAAGCACCCGAGTCAATTACCCATGAATTTAGACCTTCCATGGATTGAGAAATGCAAGCTGTGGACGTACTTGGGGACTGAGATGATTGCGCCAAACTGTTAGACTTTAATCGCAGATACTCTTGATACTCTTCCTCAGTGAACTTGGAGTTGGAAGTGGAAGTTTCAGCCTTAGAGATATTGGCGGTTTTTGAAGGAAAGCCATGCAAGGAGTAGCAGTTTTCTTGGGTGTGACCCACCCTCTTACAGTAAGAGCACTGTGGACGTCCTCGACCTCCACGTCCTCCTCCTCTAGTGCCACGTCCTCCTCTTCCTCGCGTGGCAACCATGACAGATGGTTCCATTGTTTCATGAGCTTCCTGAGACTGAGACACGGGAACACAAAGAAGACGTGTGGTCAAGGCTTCCAAGGAAGGGACCTCATGACTTGTCAGAAGTTGATCTCTGATGTGATTCAAATCTGAATGCAAAGCACGGAGGATCATCACCATATAATACTTGTCAAGCTTCTTTTTGATATCTTCCGAAGATTCCACTTCCAAGAACATTCTCAATTCTTCCACAGCTGCTTGGGCTTCAGTCATGAAGGAGACCATATCATGGTCTGTCATTTTGAGACAGGCAAGCTTGTTTGCGGTATCATAGAGACGTTGAATATCATTAGCATAAATGCTTTGAGCTTTCTTCCAAAAAGTGTGACATGTCTTGAAGGTTTTAACTGATATCAAAAGTCGGGGTTCCACAGATTGCCACAATAGGGTACACAATTGGAAATCAGCTTGTTTCCATTTTTCAACTTTGTCAAAAGGTACTTGGCTTCCATCCTCGAGGTGGTCATAATGTCCTTGACCAAGGAACCACATTTCCACAACAGCAGACCAACATAGATAATTCTTTCCGTTTAGCTTTTCGGAAGTGATTGAGGGACTTCCAGAGAAAGAAAGAGCACTTCCAGACGCCATTCTTTGATAAAAAGAGAAGGAACCAGAAAAACCGTGAAGAACCAGAAAACCCTAGGGGGTTTCTTAGGGTTTTCTTAAAGGGGAGCTTCTGGACACACCAAAGTAATATTTTGAGGGGCAGAAGGACAGAGGAGCAGAGGGCGACAGCTATGGAGGTGGCGCGGCGACTTTCCGATGAGCAGAGGGCGGCGCATGGACAGCACGCGCCTGTTCGCAGCACACAAAGAGGCGGCGCGTGGCGGAGCGTGGAGGAGAATCAGGCGAACCCACCGGTGGGGTTGGCGGTCGCATGAAGAGGCGAATCAGATTCAGTGGTCGCCGGACGGAACAGTGACGGCGGCCGGCAGCAGACGGCGGAGGACGGCGGCGGATGGTGGCGAACGGCGGCGGACAACAGCGGACAGATGCGAGGTGGCGGACAACCAAGTTGAAGAACTACAAATTGCAGTTGACAGCTGCAGATAGTGGCGAGACAACCGCGGACAACGGCGAATGGCACCGGACAGATGCAAACAGCAGTGACAGTGCTGGTGGACAACCCAGGATAGAAACCAGAGCAGGATGAACCTGCTCTGATACCAACTTGAGATCTAAGACAGAGAAAAATAGTTCTAAAGGGCTTGGAAGTCCCTTCTCAGTTCTCTTATTTATGTAGATAAAAATCTGATATAATAGATAGATGGAAGATGAAGAGATTGTCCTAGACTGCTAGGAACAATCATTATAGATAACCCAACACACAACTACCTACTTTAGGCCCTGCTATACTAATCATAGGTAGACTTAATAATTATTCTAACAACATTCAACAAGAAACTGATATCTCATTAAAATAACATCATATTAAAGAGAAGCCACCGTGCCTCCAGGTACAAGGATTTATGTCTATAATGGCTGCGGTAATATTGGGAGTAACTAATGGCAACCTCCGATGAAGCACAATGGTTCTTCCAACGAAAACAAAATCTTCTAGTTTACATTTTGGCACCATCTTTCAAGTTATTGCTCACTGTAGTTAATTCGACATGATACCGAGAAACAAGAGTTTGTCTAAAATGTATGCTTAGAAACACCGCATGAAATCCCCGTTCTACTTCTTACCTTAAAATCAGAGGTGGGATTTTCGACAGAAATCTAAACTTGACCTTTGCTATCTAAAATTACATAATCTAATATTCCTAAAAATAATCATATGAATATGATAGAAAACTGAGCCATTTATTCAATAAATAAAAAGAAATATGTCAGAAGTCACATTCTGGGACCTGCTACATACTTTTATAGTAACTGTGAATTTAAGAACAAATGGCTTAATTTCAGGGATATCAGGATAAAAAAGTATGACCCACATTTCATAACACAGATGTAAACATCTTGTCCGGAAAATAGAGCACTCAAATCCTTCGACCATTAAGTAAATGAAATGAAACTCAACTAATTCATTCTAGATAATATGAACAAGGACCCTTCACTTATATCAAACTTGATCAATCTTATTTTCATTGCATTTGCATTCTAGATAGCAATACTTCTCTTGGGCATTTCATCAAACGGACTCTCGTCACTTCAAAATTGCTCGTTTCTAAATATGATTTGATCATGACATTACACGAGGAATACCCAGAAATTAATACAAAGGAATGAAGTGGCAGTTGTTTCAATGTCTAATATATTTAGAAACATAATGAAGCATCAAGCCACCTCGGACATCAAGAGCTCGTTGAATGGAAGACAGGTCTAGGTGGTGACGGGACTATTCTTTTTTTCTGCCAACGGCGTCTAAGCGAAGAGAAGAGATGGTGTGAAGATATAGATGCAGGCCACAGAGAGAGTAGAAACAAGCCACCCAAGATTGATTACTTTTATGACATTGAAGGTGGGAACTTATCTAAAGACTTGACAACACATTCAAATTTGGAACCGATGAAAACGTGAAAGATCACATCACATTTAGGTTAGTGTCCATCCAAGTCTTTCTCCCCTTTCCTATCTCAACATCCTCCATAAATATTCCTTTCAAATTTCAAGAGGCACGGAATGAAAGCCACGTTTAGATCCCAAGTCAGTAAACAAAAAAAACAGCAACCAGCAACTAATGGGACAAACCCCATTTGCATTTCAATATATATTTTTTTTTCTTTTTGCAATAATTCTGAACTCCAGAGTAAAAATAATGGAATGGATAAAGCATTAAACCACAGTACCAAAACTCAGTATTCAGTATACACACACTCACGCACACATTTCACTGAGTAAATGCAAGCAAGCACCTGCTAGGAGGACTGGGAAGAGAGTTTGAGGCATTCACTCTGGCATCTCCTAAGACAAATGTCATTCCAATTTGGCACTTGATGTTGGTTGACACAAACAGTGCGGGCACAGGCATCAGCACATGCATCAAGATCGGAAACACCACAAACCGTGACGCAGGTATCGGGAATGGGGTCTTTGGAGAAGGAGCCAACCTTCTTGAGCATCCTCTTGGATGTGCAGACCCTCTCACACACGAAAATTTCATCAGAACTCCTTTCCCTCCCTCGAGCACTCTTCAGCCGCTGCTCCTCTGCGTGCCGTTTCTTCACCCGAAACGCTTGCCCTGCAACCACCACAGGGATCGCCGCCCCCAAAAGCGACCACCAGATTTCAACCATTTCTCACCCACAAAGAACGAACAAATTCTCCTCCTCTTCTTCTAGTTCACATACTGCACACTCGCAACCACACGTTACAGAGTTTCAATCGTTAGTAATTATTGTTAATCGTATACATATAGTAAACCCTAGACACGCGCGCGCGAAGCGAAACAGAGAGAACACTGTAATGTGTTGAAATGCAATCGGAAAAGAATGAGAAATGGACTTCATATTATGCAACGAACTGAATAAAGACGATGCAAATTCGAAAGTGAGCGGCTTTGTCTAAGTGAGGGAAATCAAAGTGTGAAGAGAGTATTGCATTTACCGGCGGCGGAGAAGAGCGGCGGAGACAGCGAGGCGGTGCTTCTACGGCGTAAAACCCTCACTGAACTACTTTTTCACAACAATGAGCCATCGGTATTTAGGTTTCTTGGGGTTTTTCCTACAAGACTAGAAAAAGAATATTCGTTCACTTTCCATTTAAAAAAAATAGGAAAACTCTTATTGGACTGGCATTTGTATCTACTTTTTAATTATAATAATAAAAATAAAAAATTCATTTTTATCATTTTTTATTATTTTATTTTAAGTAATTAATTAAATTTAAAAATAATTATAAAACTTTAAAAATAAAAATAATTTATACTGATGAAAAAACCGATAATAAAATGTAAAAGGTTACTAAAAACAATACTATTATTCTTTATTAACGACTGTAAATAATAAATAATATATTATAAGTTGTATTTTTGTCGATTCATTATGTTCTTAATTAATCTAAAAATATATAGTCTTAATTTATTTTCACGCTTTTCATTGATTTAAAACTTGTACCGATTTTGTATATTTTTAATAAGTGTTTTAATTTATTTTTAGCATCTTATTAAAGTATTTGCATTATCAGTCAATTAAAAATATTTTAAATACAATTTTTTGAGTATTTATGTATTCGAAATTTGGTCATATTACGGTTTAAGTAGCCTTCAAATAGACAGATGAATTAAATTATATGGAAGCTAATTAAAAAGTCATAGACGAACTTATTCTTACCCATCATAAAAAAATATTTTAAATATTGTAACCACAATTTCCTGAGGACATACAATAGTGTAGAAACTAATTAACTGTTAAAATATTTTCTGAAAAATATACATATAAATACTTTAAAAATCATAGCTATGAATTTTGTGAAATTCAATTCAATTTAGTTTCAATAACTATTTTTTATGTAATTCAATAATTCTATTTAGGAAAGATTCAATCATAAAATTTAAAGAAGTCTAAGAATCTAATTCAATAATTCAACACAAATTTGTTTCAGTTCAACTAAGAATAACAATGTAAGGCACGATTTCACCATACTACATTCTCGTTCACTTTCATCCATTTCTCTTCCACAGATATTAGATTGTGAATGTGTTTCACATTGTATGTCTCATATATCTCGATGACAACCTTGTAGAAACCAAAACCAAGCATTGTTTTTATGTACATAAACCAAACACTAAAGGAATATATTACAGAAACAAAACCCAGACATGAACTTAACTCTTTTATTTATTGTATCAATCCTTATCCCAGATCACAAGATGCTAACAAGTGTTATTTTTTGGTGTCACATTACACTACCAACCCAGTAACTAACGTAATCCAATTCAACATTCAACCCATCTTAGCATCAGCAGAACCTGCATGCATTTTAGCACAGTATTCAAACAAGCTCCCATCATAGCATCTTCTTACAGCTTCTTTAGACAGGAAGCCTTCCTCATCCTTAGCCAGAATGTACAGAGCCCCCCATTCAAATTTAGCAGCCAACCTGTCACATTCCTATGTCAAATTATGCCATAAAACTAAAGTTGAGATCGATGTCAGAATTAATAATACTCACCACCCAAATGGGTCAAACGCATTTCGGTTTCCTTCTGTCAGATCCCACATCTCCCCAAGTGTGAGCTTGTCCGGAACTGTACGAGCATACTTACTGAACATGTTCTCAATATTCGCTGGCACATAACTGTGGTTTATTTCATTAAGTACAAATCAATGTCCAAGAAGAGGTTATTTGGCAGTCATAACTGACAGATTTTTTGTTAATCCAAACTAATTTCACTTACCGTCCTTCTGTGTCATAAACTCCAGAGTCACTTCCATGTTTTGCTTTGTGTATGTTATGTATGTAGATGGGGAAAAGGAGAGAAGGGATCCAACTCTGTGCAAGTACAAATTCAAAGATGAGCCTAAAAATTTCATATGGCTTTATTTTTTACTCTAAATAAATCATCGACAAGCTAACAACTGATATGCAGATTCTTAATATATGAATAGTGTAAAATGCGCTTAAGAGCTTAATCCCAAAAGTATATACAGCATTTTGTATTGTTCATTTTGTCCCCTTTTGGTTCTAACTACCTAAGGAAAAAAGAAAAATCAAGAATGACTCACAGGCTGAGTGGGGAAACTCAATCCAATATTGATAACAATGGCCATTATAGCAGATGCAACAATATTAAATCCAAGAGAACGCATCCCTGATAAACAAAGATAAAAGAACTTTAGATACGGTCGATGACAATGTGGACCCTATTGGAAATCAAAACTCTTACCCCTGTAAGTCTCCCAAGGGTAAATGATACCATTGCCATCTTGATCAAAAAAAGCAACATGCTGCTGAAGAACAGACAAGTCATTGTGCTTGTGGCCCTGTGTTCCTTGAGGGTGGCTTGCATCAGGAGCTTTCAATGCTCTGGGCATGTCTGAACACGTCCCATGAAAAAAAAATGGCTTGGTTACACATATAAGAGGAAATTTAAATCCATTTATAAGAAAATTGGTAAAGGTACTCTATGCTTTCTATGTCCTTGTTCTTCAAAATGAAATTTACTCGGAAATCAAAACTTAAAAGAGGCAATATACTTACTTATACATATAGAGGTGTCTTCGCAAATTGCAACATAAAGGGAGAGAAATCATGAAGCAATAGTAATAATGTGGTATGAACCACGATATTGACAAAAAGTATTCATGCATGGTCCTTTGGATATAGTAACAATATTAATGCAGAAAACAAATATGACAGCCCATCTTATTAGAATCTGCACAAATTAGTATGATCCTACAACGTTACTTCAGTTTTGGACTAATACTTACATGGCTTTGGCAGAGAATTTTCCAAATCATTTCTGACCCTTCTCTGTGTAGTAACCGGTGCCTTTTCAGCTTCAGTCATCAATGAATCCCTCTCCATCACTGTAGCCATTATGATATTAATATGCTTCTTCTCTTTCTCACTGATTCGTGTATATATATATATATATATATATCTTCGTTTTGGCCTCTCCTTTTATGGAGGAGCTAGTTGAATCACCAATAAATTATATATAACTTGTTGGAGACAGTAGAAAGAGCCAGCAAGTTCCACCAAGTTACGTGGCAAACATGCAGAACATTGAAGTGCATATTGTGCCAACTGCTAAGTTGAGAAGTGATGCATGTAATTGTTTTGTCGGTTCCTTGTCGTCTCTGAATACCTCTCTCAGTGTCGAACATACCCAGTCCCTAGTATTCATCAGTTCGGCAGAAATTTACATATTCTTTCACTAATCGATGCCATGTTTCGACGCGACAGCTTAATTTAATCAATTTTGAATTATTGTTTTTGGAAATAGAATTTAAAAAGGATGTGTAATTCTAATTAGAAAATGTTGTGGAGATAAACAAATTAATCAAAAAGTTGCTTGGTAAATTTGTTTTCAAAACTTTCAAAATAAACTTACAACTTTTTAACAGATACTTATGATATAGCACTACCGCTTTTAGAATAATAGTTTTTATTTTCTAAGAGTAATTTTTAACGTGTTAAGAAAATAGTTTTAAAAAAATGTTTTTTTGTTATCTATAATATGATTAAAATAAATTGCTATAATTATAATTACTAAAAAATACATAAAATATTCTAAACATTTTTAAATAATTTTATCTAAATTTATATTAATAAAGCATTTTTTTTTAATTAGTGTCTATACTTAATACTATTAGTGTATATATTTATAAATAATTTAAAATCTCAACCATTAATAAATATAGATCATACATAAAAAAATTATTTCGTGTTAAATAAATATTAATACTTTATTCATTCTAAGCTTCTAGGATTTATAATCAACTTAAAATATTAAAGTAAGTTTCAAAAAATTTAATATTACTTTTCTCTCAAAGAACTTTATGCCACAACTCAACATTTCAAAACCCATCAAAATTCTAATTACATTAGCTTAAACCTTTTATTTTATATCGCACAAATTTCACATTTTAAGTATTTTAATTCAAAATATCATTCAACATTCAATATATCATTCAATTAGATTAAATCCTCAATTCAAAACATATCCAAATCAATAAGACTAAGTATACTCTATAGGACTTTCGTCACTCCCACTAAAAATAATTATTCTGCCAAAGGTTTTATTTCAAATTATGAGTTTTTATCCTTTACAAATTAATTTGCAAAAGTTTTTTAGATATTTTATATTTTCATCATTCTTTTATTTCTTTTTAGGATTTTAACCTTCCCGTACGTTTTAAAGCCTCTTTTATTTACAACTATTTTTATTTACAACTATTTTAGAGAGTTTTAAAATTTTCATTTGTATTATTTATTTTGTGAGTTTATTATTTTATTTTACTTGTGTTATTTCTAATTTCTTAAATACAATAATTGATAGTAATTAAAAGCTCTTGTAGATGATAATGTATATGACTATTAACGTACTTATATTTTTGTGTTTACAATTTTTATTTGTAAACTTTTTTTTAATATTTTAATTATGACAAAAGACATGACAAACCTTTATCAAAATGTTCAAATATATATCATTAAAACATTTAATTTTCAAAATTATCATAATAAGATAAAAATAATTTAAATCAAAACATAATTATAACTTAATCCATAATTACTCAAAATTCATAATAGATTAAATATAGTTTTATCTTAAAAAATATCATAAACACACTAAATTTTGCTAGCAACATATAATCTTCTTGTATCTAAGGAAGAGACTTAGACTCATTTGGATCACCAGTATGCTAAAATGATAAATAGATATATTAAAGTGAAATAATCTATGACATAAGCGTGATATGCAAGAATAAAAAGAAAACAATAAGACAACAAATTAGAGTGAATATAAAACTATCCATTGTTTAGTACGTTTGTCCTCCATACATACTAAAGTTCTAATATAGTAGCCAGCTTTAAGTATTGAACGTCTATAGATTCTAACCATTTTTTACTTTAAGCCACATCCCCACACTTTCATGTGAAAATTATTGAACTTTTGTTAGACGTAAGTAGTTCACACAACTTTTGGACACAAGATACATACATTACACGACACCATTTGACTCACTTAAAGGTTCAGGGTATGTTTAGAGAAAGGAAAAGGTTTTTTTAACGACTTTTTAAAAAAAAAAATCTATGTAGTAGTTTGTGATTGATCTATTTTAAATATACAGACCAATAAAATAGTAACACATAGTCTATTTTCAAAAAGTTATTTAAAAAAGTTAAGATATCATAGTCTAGAAACTTGTTCGTAGTATTTTTAGAAGAGAAAAAGAAGAAATAAAAATAAAATTAACATCTCTATAAACTAAAATTAACTTAACATACATAATGCCTCCATGTAAATGACCTTATTAATAAAATAGAAAAGAAAAAGATCAAATGAAAAGCAACCAGAATTATGTTTGACAACATATAATCATATGAAACAGTCCAGGAAGAAAATAAAAGCATCTGAAAGCACCTGCATCGGAGTTACTAAAACCCATATTGGATTTGTCAGCAACACATTCAAGGACCTGAAAAATAAGACAATTGCAACAAAAATATTAAGCAAAGAGAGAGAATTTGGGTTCACTATCACCAACACAACACAAACATGTCTATTCTGAAATGCAACATTCAAATAAAATTTGTATGATGGAATAATCACCCAGCAATTGCAGCCACAACAAGCCAACCAAACATCCCAACAGTACCATTTCCATGCTTTTTCAATTTCCGTGCAGCTGTAATCGCCACTGCCTCGTTCTTGAAAACTTGATAGAAATAGTAGTAAATGCCCTGAAAACAGAAAAATAAGCATTTAGATAACTACCCCACAACCCACTGAGTAGTCATGTTACTTTGTTTTTGGTTTAATGGTTTCCCACACCACATCTATCCTCGTTCAGATGTAATATTGTCCAAGACACAATCAAACATTAAGTTTGAGCACCACTTTCAATAAATATTTGAATCTAAATTCATCAGGTTATTGGAGACTAGCCCCTTTCGCAACACAATCTCATTTACAACACACGGAGTCTTAAGGCTTGAATTTTGCGTCTTATAAGAGGTGAATTCCAAATAATAAGCAATGTACTGTAACAATTCTATACCGCTCGAGCCTAATCCAAAGCACATATGTCGAGGAGAAAAGATAATAAATATTGTACTGTAGAGATAGGGTATAAATATGTGTGTGTGTGTGTGTGT